TTGCCATAAAGGTGGATAGCCTGGTTAAAGTATAAGAGACAGAAAGAGGGCTGATAATGGAGCTGGCGAGATAGTTTGGTAGTCTTAAGCGACTACCTGGCAAGGACCCACAAGGACCTGGTTCAGTCCCCACTACTGAATGTGCTGTGTGGTCCCCTCAGTATGAGTGTGGTGGCACACATCTGTAATCCCAGTGCTGGGGAGGCTGAGACAGAAGCATCACTAGGAGTCTGAGCTATGTAGTGAGATCCTGTATCAAATACATATATAAAAAATAATAGATTATGGGCCGGGGAGATGACTCAGTTGAATAAGTGCTTGCCTGGCAAGCGTAAGAGCCTGAGTTTAATCCCTGGCTCTGCCAAAAAAAAAAAAAAAAAAAAGAAAATAGATTTAAAGAAAAGGATTGTCATTTCTTGTCAGTTGCTGCTTGCTGTTTTACTTTTCCTTACTTCATTGCCTTCTGCACATCATGAACTATTTTTCCTCTGTGATGCTCCCTGCCCTGGAGCCAGCCAGCTCTGAACTGAGAACTGTATAAACTATGAGCTAAATAAACCTTTCCTCCAGTAACTTTGAATGTTGGATATTTTGTCTCAGCAACAAGAGAAAAGTAATTAAGACACAATTTGGTACCAGAAAGAGGGTCATTACTGTGATTCTGTCTGACTCTGAGGTTCTGGAGCCTTTGGAACTGGCTCATGGGAAGAGTTCTCAAGGTCTAGAGAAAATGGCTGAAGAAGCAGTCGTGTAATGCCTTAAGCTGTGCTTGATGGGAAACTGGTCAGCACTCAGAAGACCAGAATGCTGATGGAAATGCTGCCAGCAAAGAGCAAGCCTAGGAAGTTTCTTCTGGGAAGGACTGCATGGGTTGTTGGACTCTAGATGATGTGTGTTATGCTTTGGTACCTCACTGTTTGTAACTTTTGTTTATTTTTGCTCATATCAAGAGATTTCACCTGAAACTGAGATTAAGGGCAGCAGACTAATCTGACAGAACAAATTTCAAGGCAGTCTAATATTGAGGCTATTTTAAGGCTGCTGTTGAGAGCTGTTAGTCAGATTTATATTGAGAATCAAGGGCAAAGAGACTAGCATAATGACTTAAAACACTGTGAGTTTGTCCAGAAAGATAGCTCCAGTAAAGCTATAGTCTGCAAAAATGAAACAGAGGAGAAATTGGTTGATGAGAAGACTAGCAAGGGCTGTTGAGATAACTCAGCGGTCTAAATCACCTGCTTAGGCAAGCTTAGGCAAGTGTGCAAGGACCATGGTTTGATTCCTGGTACTACATGCTGCGTCAGTCCCAACCCTGGCTGGCTGAGCCACCACACACACACACACACACACACACACACACACACACACACACACAGTTTGAATTTAGGGCAGCCAGATAGCCCAGCAAACTAAAGTGCCTGCCAAGGACTGGTTCAATCCCCAGCATACTATGCTGGCTGCACCCCTCCCCCGCCCCTCAGGGCATGATGAGACAGGGACTGAGACTGGGTGTGGTGATGCGTGCCTGTAATCCCAGCACTTGGGAGGCTGAAAACTGGAGGATTACTGAGTCTGATCTGTGTAGTGAGCCCCTGTAGACCCTATACTAAATACATTAAAAAAAAAAAAAAGATTAGTAAGAAAGGCCAAGTATTTCAGAAGGGGACTGTAGAAAAAATTACCTGAGGACATCACAGAATTAGCAGGACTTCACCCTTTGCAGCCTCAAAATTACAAAAGTAACATGTTTGAGAAGAGGGCCCCACCGTGCTCCAGAATGGAGGTGGCCAAGAGAATTTTTTCCTTGGAATTGGATTCAGAGTAATTAGCAATCTAGGCACTCAACCCCTATAGCTAAGAGAGAAGAAAGCCTGTCTACTGTTCCAGTTGGTGGCAGATGTTGGCATTACCCACATGGTGCTGGTTTTAGATGCACGTAAAATGCAAGTTTTGAGGTCAGGAGAGCTTCTGTCTTGATTTCAGAAGAAGGCCTAGGCAGGCAGGTAATATGCCCCTGCAAAGACAGTGTGTGAAACTGCTGAAGATGCAGTGGAGACCTCAGAACTTTGGAGAACCCAGGAGTGTGGATTGTCTGAGGAAACCTGGCTGGAGGGAGGCCCAAAAATAAGACCCAAAAGAGAAGCCATGGGAGCTACAACCTCTGGTAGTTTTCTAGCGGCAGAATCACCCAGACCCTTAGGAGTTCACAACTTGCCACAGATTGCTGGGGTTGCTGGACATGGAACTACAGGATTTAATGTTTGCATTGCTGTATTTTGGTTTTATTTTTCCATTCCTTTGTACCCCACTGTTTGTAACTTTTGGAATGAAAATCATTGTGCCATTGAATGGTGAACGTTTTTAAGTATCTTTTTATTTGGACAGTGGTTCATAGCACAGAGTTTGCCTTAAATCTCAGAGGAGACTTTGATCTTGGACTTTTCAGCAATGTTGAAACTATTAGGATTTTGGGAACTCTTGGAGATACACTAAATGTCTTCGGTATAAAGGGATATGCATGAGTCTTTGAGCACCAAGGAATTTTTTTTTTTCCTTAAACAGTTTTGCTATACAGTTCATTGTGGCCTTAAACTCACTTTATAGCCCAGGCTGACCTGGAACTGGCAGGGATCCTCCTACCTCAGCCTCTGAAGTGCTGGGATTACAGGTGTGCACCACCACACCTGGCTAAGGGAAGGAATGTTGTGGTTTGTGTCTAGCTATCCCCCAAAAGTCTCATGTGATCTTAGGTAGGGCTTTTTAGAGGTGGCTGGACCTAAACTGTGTGATGTTGGGATTGGGTATGTGATACTGGGAGTAAGGGGGTATGATTACAAAATTAGTCCACTGATTGGTTTAGTATAATTCTGGGTAGAATGAAGGCTCTCCCTTCCTGAGTGTAAGTACTACCTGGCTTAAGGGTAGATAGTCCAGTTAAGATATAAGGGACATAAAGAGAGTTGCTGCTTGTCCCTTGTCCCTTGTTACTTGCTTTCTATGTGATGTCTTCTGCCTACCACCTTGTGTCTTGCCTGCTTTCCTGTGGACTGTTTATCCTCTGTGATGCCTTTCTAGTATGCTACCTTGCCTTAGAGTGAGCTGACTATGGACTGAAACTTCTGTGATCTGGAGACAAACCTTTCCTCCTTTGCTCTTTTTCTTTTTTGTCTTTTTGAGACAGGATCTCAGTTATGCAATTTAGGCTGGCCTGGAACTCACTTTGTACCCTACACTGGCCTCAAACTCATGGTAATCCTCCTGTATCAGCCTCCTGAGTGTTGCGATTACAGGCATGTGCCATACCCAGTTACTTTTCCTCTTTTAACTTTGGGTGTTGAGTATTTTGTCTCAGCAAAGAGAGAAGTAACTAAGACGAACATACATTTTGTTAATTTCAGAGAAGACACTATACTTCATGGACTTTTGTCTCTGACAACTGAGAAAAGTATAGTAGGAAATTGAATTTATGAAGGGTCACTTCATTTTTTTGTGAATTGCCTGAGAAAAATAACGTGCAGTAGAATGTAGTAGCTATTATGACAATTCAGGTCAGGATAACTAGTCTAAATGCAGTTGAATTCAAGTTTTGCCCTTGATGTTGGGTAGATTATATAATTTCTCAGCCCTTTCCACTTCAAAATTCTATATTAGTGAACTACAGACAGCCATGATTTTTCCTGTTTTTTTTTTTTTTAATTTTATTTTATTTTTTATTTTTTTTGAGAGA